CAAAGAATATCATTTTAAAACTATAAGTTTTCTGACATCTTGATGTTACCAATAATCAATACGCAAAAGAAATGAAGTTTTTAAGAATGCCCCTTTGTGATTTAGATCATATCATATGCTTTAGATTATTAAAATACAGGTATAGAGATAGGTAGACAGATTTTTTTTTTTAAACATTTAAAGGCCCTCTCCATTTTTTTCTTTAACATCATTGAGTGACAGTATCCATTTCTCATTAGGTGAAATGCATCTTCTTATTTTGAAAATATGAATGGTCTGTTTTAAGAAGCATCCATTAAAAAAAAAATTGTCAAACCTTTGACAAATAAGTCCTTCCAGAAAATTAAGTTTATATTTTACATAATTTGGGAAGATACTGCCAACTGGGTTTTAGAAATTCAATTACTATATTCTGCAAAGAATACCAGAATAATTATACTTGGTTTTAATTATTAAATTTCAAATAAATAAAATATATTTGCAATCACCGTGTTTTTGGTAAAACAGTTTTAATTTTGATATGATTATATATAAGCTAAGACCAGGAATTATAAAGCATGATGAAAGTTGTTTCTCTTTTTTAGCCTCTCTGGAAAGTGATTTTTAGATATCTGTCTCATCAATTCAGAGAAAAATCTAAGAGAAAGCTTTTTAAAGTAATACCATACTAAAATGCACAAAAAAGTAGCTTTCAAAAAGTTCTGATGACATTTAAAATGAGGATAAATTATATACAGAATAATCAAACACAAAACTGCAATGAATGCCCCATCAAAAATAAAATGAAAATTCCATGTAATATAATGAAAATAGACTCACATTTACAAACTGAAATATCTTTTAAGCTAATGAGGTTCCTCAAATTTTCTGTGCAACTGAATGCAGTACGATATACAGGTATTTGTTTCTCCACTTTTGAAAAGTTATTGACTTTAATAACTCTAAAAATAATGTGAATATTCTTTCTCATTCTATTCATTGTGATCAATTCTAGCATAATTATTGAAATGTTGAGAACATCTTATATTTGAAGTTGAAAACTACTTAATTTGAGATGAATTGTCAGATATCTTATTCAGCCTTTTCTGTAATTACAGCGCCAATTTCAGAGGTGCTTAAAATTGTATCTTAAAATTTCACAAGTTTGGATATTTTATTCTCTGCTATATATTAATTCCAGGCTTTCCAGGTGGCATAGTGGTAAAGAATCCACCTGCCAATGCAGGAGACACAAGAGACATGGGTTCGATCCCTGGGCCAGAAAGATCCCCTGAAGAAGGTAATGGCAACTCACTCCAGTATTCTTGCCCGAGAAACCCCATGGACAGTGGAGTCTAGTGGGCTACAGAGCATGGGGTGGCAAAGAGTCAGACACAGTTGAGCACATACACACGTATATCTTAATTTCATACTAAAAGCTACTTTTATACCATGAGTTTTTAAGTAGCATTTTAAGTAATCATAGAAAATAATCTACTTAAGATTATAGATATTGTATTATAATATTTTCACTTGTGTAGTACACTTAGCAAGGAAATTCACAAATACACAACTGTGAAGAATTAAATATTAGCGTATATTAATAATACTAGATTTCTTAACAAACAAAACAAAGGCCAATAATTTTACTCTTAATAAGTTCTACTAATTCAATTAAAAGTTTTTTCCCCTTCAAATCAAAATCAAATCCTAAGTTTTACTTAGGAATAATCTTCTCTTATATTGTTAACTAATAATTATGTTTTTTGCTTATTTATCAGCACACAAAGTGCACTGCTTCCCATGCATAATAAATAAAACTTTCAGCCAGTTAACAGTATAGTTAACAATCACAAGTTAAACCCTTAAAACACATAAGCTATAGTAAATTCATTCTAAACAATGTTATAGATTCAAAAAGATATTTTAAATACCAGATATCACTGTTGCAGTTTACAATGATTTCACATGCTAAAATTTGATTTCATATAAGTTCAAGAACTTGATATTTATATTTTCCTCAAATATATACAATCACTTCACTTATGTTTTTCTAGAATCAGAGTTTCAAAATGATTATCTCAAAATTCTTTAATAATAAACAACAAGATGCAAATCTAATATTAAAAGGACTAGGAAGATAGATACTATAAGGTTTCTAAATTGATTTAGGAATGTTTCATCAATTGATTGGTGTGGGATTTAAAATCCAATAGAATGCACAAGCCTACTGAAGATGTAGTTCTTAAAACTGAGTAACTTAATAACCATTTTATTTCATACCTGTACTTCACATATTCATATACTACAATATCATGGCTGAAAAATTCTTAGCTCCTGCACTAACTGAAATTATTCATGGACATCTGTTTGATTTCATGTAAGAGATGAGCCATTCACTACATTAGTTAAACGCATAACTAACATTATTAGTCATGAACTTACATATACTACTTTGGAAAAAAAACTCTGAGTCTACATTTTAAATAAATATTTCTAAATAATAGAATAATATTAATGAGTAGGAATATTAGGGCCTTAGAGACAAATATATTTCATATTCAAAGAACATTTTACTTAATTGGTGAAGTCTCTGGGCACAATAATTTGCTGATACAGTTTTCTGTTTTATGACCTTTGTTCACTGAGACAGCTAGGCAACAGGGTTGTATATGGCATTGTTTTAGGGGACAGCCAAGAGTGCTTGGACTATTCAATATTATCGCTGGGAGATCTTACAACCTAGAGACCAGCGCTAGTAAACCACCATCTGCCTGTGCTGACATATGCAGACTTCACAAGGAGAAAAGTCCAAACCTCCAACTACCTCTGATTCTTAAATTTGTTCAGACCACATGCTAAAATGTCTAAATGAAAAAAAAAAAAAATTGAGACCCAGATATTAATTGCTCACATTAGTAAGTCTCCAAAACCCAATCCTTTGGTCTTCATCTTGGAAGACTAGAAACCTCAGAACAGCAGAGCTGAGATATAGGGATGCCAATAGTGAGTGGACGCCTGAGTCTCCTTTAAGAATCCCTTGGTGTTACTGAAACAAGATGAGTTCCTAAGCCACTGCAGTATTCTTGCCTGGGAAATCCCCCTACAGAGGAGCCTGGTGGGCTACAGCCCATGGGGTTGCAAAGAGCCAGACACGACTGAGCAACTGAACAACAACCAACCATTCTGATAAGACATTCCTGATATTCTCAGGAATCTCAAAGCGATTCAGAGAATGCCTGGATTTCTTCAAAGGATACTCTCTGCAAGAAAGAGTAAAACTAACTTCATATGGGTATCAACTGACTGTGAGCTGTCATTTAAAGGAAAGGGATGAGACAGAAGGATATCTGTACAACCAATTACCCACATACCAATTCATCAACACTGATGTCACACAGGCCACATCCATGAACAGTCACTATTCCAGACTTGCCCCCTTCACTGCTACCGATGAGGGCAGAGGAACAGCATATAGGCAGTGTCATGGAGCACCACAAGAATCCATTCCTGCATCAGCAAACCCGCAAGGGTCAGGATCACACTCTGCCTGCCAAACTCCATCCGCTTCTCCTCCGGGACTTAGCAGAGGAATAAGTCTCTCTAGAAAGCATTCCTTGATCACCGGCCCCTACTTCTGCACTGGATGCTATTCCTATGTATGACTCTTTGCTTAACTAAATTTAAGCACCTGTAGTGAAAACTGAGTGATGTATTTGTATTTTCATTTTGAACACTTGAACATACACTGAAACCACAATTATTTTTACATCCCCAGGACTAAGCCCAGTGCCTAGCATTCAGTAAAGGTTTGCTGAATGGAAGCTGGATGAAGGTACAGCCACCGCATCTGGCACATCTGGTGGGAAATGAGATCCCTTAAAAAATACAACAAAACTTAACAGTTCTTTTTAAAAAAAGATGAACAGCATGAAGCGAAAATGCCATGACACAGTCTTCTAAATTTTCAAATGAATGCAGTTATTATAACATCAGACAACATCAGTGAACCTGTCATCACTAACTAAATAACACTTTGTAAGCCTATCCTTGGAAACCTATATCATTTATTACAATAACAGTATTTTACTGCCATAAACATGTAAAACTCAGAAAGCTAGTTTAGAAAAAAAAATCTTTAAAAAAGTCTGTATATTTCTGGGGGTCCTTTTTCTATATGTAAAACTTATTTGAAAAATTCAAATGATTTTTATCATTTTTTCATTTCCTAGGATAATGTTACAAAATATTTGAAAACTGTTCTAATTATTTAGAACAGAATAGATAATATCACTGAACTAAAAACTCTGTTTTATATGTGGATCATTTGCTCTGAAATAAAATTTCATTTTCTTCTTTGAAAAAATGGTTTTACAAAAGGAAGTTCAATTAAAAAAAAACTACTATGCAGAGATTCTGATGAAACAAAAATATACATCTACTTCATTAAAAGATACAAAAGGACTTCCTATATATACAACATCAATAAGGTTTCCATAAAAGTAATAAGACTATAAAAACACTGAAATCTCTGCAAACTTTCCTGTCATTTATGGAAGACATACTAACATTAATTTACTATCTGCCTGTTTAAGCTTAACTTGCTTTTTCTAAAACATCTTTGAAACAACAGGGAGACATATTGGAATGAACTCTGAAATAGGTACTCTGGATATATTGTATAGACAGAAGATGTGATCAAGGCAGTAATAATCAGCGAATAAAGCAGACAGACCTGAATTTGTATCACAATTGCACAGAGAATAAAGACTGATTAAGCAGGGAGAAGGTAAGTTCTGCCTATACAAAGCACAAAATACAGTCCGATAAATATTTTACATGCTGAGTTAATTTCAACTTAATTCTCACATGCAACTCCATGAAAGTCTAATGAAAAGTGTATGTTAAATAGTTTCTTTACCCTATGACAAAACCACTCAAAACCTTTAAAATCTCTAAACCACTACACACTTTTACAATGCCAGAGAATAAAAAGAGAAATTATTAATTTTTAAAATTACCCAGCAATTCCATTGCATCATCTTCATTATCAATATCTTCTTCTGTTACAGATGGGGTGGGACTATGGACAGACTCAAAAGAATCTTGAGAAAGCATGGCTGCCAGAAGTTTCTTGTGTTGCTGTTGCTGTTGTTTTAATCCTTTAGTCTTGAGCTCCACCTTTAAGCTGAAGAAGTAGTTCAATGTGAATTTTCAATGAGGATGACAGTTAGCTGTGATAACTAAAGAAAATCTACAAATTTTCACTCAAATATTTTGCTTTGCAAATCTATGCATATATTAGTAAAATAAATAACTCCAGTAAAATAAAAACTCTAAATGTGCAATGACTATATATATTGTTGTTGTTGTTTAGTCAGTAAGTCATGTCCATTTTTTTGCAACCTCATGAACTATAGCCCACCAGGCTACCCAGTCCATGGAATTTTCCAGGCGAGAATACTGGAGTGGGTTGCCATTTCCTCCTCCAGGGCATCTTCCTGATCCAGGGATCAAACCGGCATCTCTTGTGTCTCCTGAATTAGGCAGGCAGATTCTTTACCACTGCGCCATTTGGGAAAGCCCATCAATACACTCCAGGACTCCACTTTGCTTTGGTCTAACACTTAAGTTCTAAACAAGGATCACCAGGACAAGAAAAATTGAAAGCGGCCATCCCCTCTACCTCCTCCCACTGGATGGTCTGCCTTCTGATATCTGCTCTCTTCCTCCTGGCCCCACTCTTTCAGGGGGTCTGACCTTGCTCCATTTTATTCCACATTCTGATTATGAACACAGGTTGGTAAGTGTTAGACTTTTCTTGCCCTGTGTGGTCTCTTTTGTAGGAAAACTGGATGATTCCTCTCTTGAGCTATCTGCTAAGCTTGTTTAGTTCACTACTGAAGCTTAGTAGGAAAATCTGTGTGCCCTTTGTCATGACTCTTAATCAGAAATTAACAGGTTCTCTTTGTATTAAAGCCCAAGTTGTTGAAGAGGTCACAAAAAGTTTCACCCTTAATTGCTGCATTTTGATTTATGCAAAAGAGCTCTTTTACTTCTTTATATGTCTAAATGTGATGTTTTTATAATTTATTTAGCAAGACATTTATTAACCGCTTGCTATGTATCAGATGTTGTGTGCACTGAGCTACAGAAATAAGACATATGTCCTTGCCATTCTCCTCACTTTAAAGCAAGTATTGCTTTTCCATAACATCTTATGGGAAAATCTGTACAAACTTTCTGGTCAACCCAATACTTTGAGTCTACAATTTTTGTTTCCATATTGGTCTTGCCCAGTACCTAGCACATTACCTTGTGTTAGTGCTCAATAAATATTTGACAAATTCACACTTTCTTTTTGAATCTCATATTTTCTAATAAAATAAGAATTCATTTAAGTAGATGTAATATGAGTTCTCCAACTCATATGAGATATGAGAATCCAGGGAAATGGAAAGGTAGGTAGTGAAACAAAAGAAAAAAGAACAAATAGATTGGAATGTGAATAATGAGGAACAAGTGGCAGATAACAAATGTGTAACTCCCTGACAATGACCAAGACCATTTCATGAACGGTGAAGCAAGTGTCTTCTTTAGTCTCATTAAAATACATTATTTGTCATGAAGATGGTGGTGTGCTACCAGAACTAGACACAGATTGAATCCAAAAAGCTGTCTAATAACGAGTCCATCTGAGTCTATGAGTCCAAAGATGACTAGCAATGTGTTTCATAAAATGACCATTTGAATTAGGGTAAGTATTTCTTAACTAAATAAATGAATAAATTCTTAAAAAAATAAGAGCAAATTTTTAATATATTAAAATGACCTCATCAACATTTTGAAATATATGATTTAGTTATATACTTTTTTGATTTTAAAGAGAAATTTGTGAGTTACAAGGGGCAATTTTTGTATGTTTTAGATATTTTTAAGGTTTCTGTTTTTTAATTACTTTGGCAAAATCATTTTTGATTGATCAATATTCTTTATGGTAAGAATCTGCATGTGAGAATATTCAAGAATAGCAAATAAATTACTAAGTTTGATACGGTCTCTGCCACATGCATTATATATTTTCTAACATGCCCACAACAGCCAAAATTAGACAATTTTATGATTATTTCTTTATTCTTGACTTATTTTATTTTTTTTTTAAGTGCCCTCCATCCATTTTCTTCCTTCTTGTTCTGGTTTATTTTCCATCATATCTCTTATCACTACTTGAATTTATGGCATAAATTAATATATTAGCTTATTTGTTGTTTCTTTCTAGTTGCCAACAGAGGAGCTCTAAGAGGAGGGGACCATTTCTAGGTTAACAGATATATCAGAAGCAATTATGAGGTTTAATGAAAAGGAGCACTGCTTATGGGAAGTGAATTTAGCTTTCAATATTTAATATATATTTCTAGTTTATAAAATTTTCTATTCATTTTATGGCATATTTATATCTGATAATGATGCTCTCAATGAATAAAGTCAACTTACAAGATCTATAATATTTATTGATATTATTCTTACTTTAATAAAGTGGTTCATCTTAGAGGAGCTTCATTAGGCTTTCAAGGCTTGATAAGCCTATTTAAGAATTCAATTATAATTTAGCAAGTAATTTTAGAAAGTCTATTATCAGCTATTGCAAATTCTAATTGAGATGGCTCAAAATATAAGTATATAGGTTTATTAACTCAATTTTTATTTACATTTATATTATCAATGTGTGATTATTTTTAACAACTCTAAGTGTGTGCAATGAATATGTATGCTTCCCACTAAATGCCTAGACAAGCCACAGCAACCAATGTCAGATGGTAGCACGTGACGATCATAGAACACATGCAGTCGTTCCCTAACACATTCACCTCTCTCTTATGACCCTTCGTTTGCTTGTTCAGATGCTTTACTTTCTTAAACTCTCTTAACAATTAACAATTACATCGTCTTGTCTTATTTTATTAGTTTCTCTATATTGCCCTGATAATTGCCTTCATTTTAACCAGCACTTAACCTTTCAGATGACAGCTATGTATACTAAAGTTGCTGACCCTCTTTACACAATGCTGTATTTGTAGGACCTAAGGAAAAAGTTCAGGTAAAGTGTATCATTTTTTTAAAGTTCCAGGAAAATATGGTGGGTAAGAGTCTATTCATAAGACTCTCAATGGTTTACTGCACCATTTATTTAATTCTCTCTAATCTAATGGCGAAAGTCCAGCCTATGATGTCTGTATTGCTCTGAATGAGAGGGAAAATTAGCGATGTACTAAAGACTGGGTGCTGTAATAACAGCCATTCAAATAAGACCTGAGCAATTAGCAGGAGGGGAATCCGCAATAGGAAAAGAGATAAAATGTTAAGATAGACTATAAACAACGCTTCATATGCTGCTGATGCTGCTGTTACGTCGCTTCAGTCGTGTCCGACTCTGTGCGACCCCATAGACGGCAGCCCACCAGGCTCCCCTGTCCCTGGGATTTCTCCAAGCAGGAACGCTGGAGTGGGTTGCCATTTCCTTCTCCAACCCTTCATATAAATAACTTTTATTTATCAGATGTCTACTCACAGTCTTCTGTGCCTCCTTCACTCACATAGCAGATGCCTACTGACAATGGCAATGTAGGAGGTCCAGTAGGGGAGAGAGAAACAGAAGTCATCCTTAAAAATTAAGTCTTCTCTTTCAGGAGTCTAGAATGTAATTAGTCTGCTAATTTTTAAGACTGTTAAGTTATAAGATAAAGTCATTACTATTCAAGGGCAAAAGCTAATACCCCAGCAACAGACTCTTGATTCACTAGGAAATTGCTCCCCAAGCTGTTTTTATTCATTCCAGTCAAATCTAGTGCTGTGTGAGCTCCCGGCCTAAATTCAGAAATCCTGGTTTTGTATTAGATGATGGAATATAGTTTCTAACCCATAACTTTACTGCTACTCTTTAAATTTAGTTCAGAAAGCATGCCTTCTTTTTTCTCTAATGGGGCATCTGAGCAGGACTTTTCACCACTTTCTTCGTTTCATAGGTAATATATCAACTCATTATTTAAAGATAGAGAAAAATAGAAGTGAAAACAACCTTTCAAAACAAATATTTGAGTGAGAGCTCCACGGACTGAGTTTTCTGGGTAATGGATATTACTAGGATTGCAAGAGAAAGTCTCATTTATTGGATATTCAAGAGGAAATAAGAGCTCACTGAAGCTAGGAAGAAAATAGAAGGACTAACATTTGCAATAAATAGCTCTTATTTATTATTATGACTAAATGAAAGCACAATGAAAATCGACATTTCTCTATTTTATATTTAAGAATTAAAGATCTAGCAATGAATAAAGATAAAGGTGTAGTGTGTTTCATACGTCTAGTGTTAAAAATAAAATTACCCTCATTGACAGGTGAAATTGATCTGACATTTCACGAAAGAAGGCAAATGGATTTTTAGAAATGGTTTTCTTCTCCTTATACAGTACACTTCAACTATTTAAATAATTTAAAAGTTATTTCTCATGGAAATAGAATCAATTTTCTATATGCCTGAAGCACATTAAACGAGTATTCCGAATTTTCTTCCCTCTAGCCAAGTGATAAGTCAAAGTAAAAAAAACCCTGAAAGCTATTACATTGTGGAAAATACAATTTTCTCCTTGAGAAAGAATGGTTATTGGTTGCTGCTAAATTTAATGTAGGAAACACAAAGTTACTGTGGCTATGCTATGCACAGGATATGTGGGTGCTCAGCTAGCAACATTCACAGAAAGTTTAAGTTCCTGTCACATTTCAGTCCATGAGTATTTTTTCTCAATCTTGTGTAAGCCATGCCTTGATAATGCCTTTTCACTCCAACTTCCTCATAGAAGTTTTCATTTTCATTTCAAATTTTACTCACTGCAGTTAGTATTACAAGAAATAGTTATACTGAATACACTTATTCTAAAAAATATTATCTAGACTTTTCAAAATTATCTCACTTCTACTAGTATATAGAGGGGGCTTCTCAGTAGTAAAGAACTGCTTTCCAATGCAGGAGACATAAAGAGACGCAACTTTGATGGCTGGGTCAGAAAGATCCCCTGGAGAAAGAAATGGCAACCCACTCCAGTATTCTTGCCTGGAGAATCCCATGGACAGAAGAACCTGGTGTGCTGCAGTCCATAGTGTCGCAGAGCCAGACACACTGAAGCAACTTAGCATGCATGCACACCAGTACATGGAAACTTAGGGCAAATCTTCTGAAACAATTTTGAGCATCATAGGATTGAGTAAAATAAACCAGGGACTTTCAAATTCACAAATTATAATAGTTTCAAAATCATTTCAAAAGTTAAACCATAGAGAATGTAAATAATTATATTCAATCATAGTTATCAACTCTAAACTCAAATGGTTCTAAACCAAGGTTTCTCTCTATATATTCCATCTAATTCCACCTTGTATAGTCTTTCATACTTGGGTTCGATCCCAGGGTCAGGAACATCCCCTGGAGAAGGAAATGGCAACCCACTCCAATATTCTTACCTGGAAAATCCCATGGACAGAAGAGCCTGGTGGGCTACAGTCCATGGGGTAGCAAGAGTTGGACATGACTTAGAGACTAAACCACAGTAGTCTAACATACATTTAATAGTTTTCTTCTTGCTGAATAACTAGATCTCTCTGGTAAATCAGAAGTCTTCCCTCTCCAGTCTTAACCCTCACCCTAATAATAAGCCAGTCTTATCCATATTACAGTAGGTCTTGACTGACAGTTTATGTCCTTGTAATTATTTTTCTATTTGGTTTTGGTAGCAAAGAAATGATAAGCTTGCTAGATGTAAAGCAAAAAATCAAAACCAAATCTAAAAGCAAATCTGAGAAAACTCTAATTTTAAAAGAGAGAAATTAATTTTTATCTTATATGTGACATAATATTCTATATAAAATTGCTAAGAGTTATCTCATCAAAATCATGCATGTGATTTCCCTTTTGTCTGAAATGATGAAAGTGTTCAGAATCTTAGAAGACATCTCATCTCACCTTCCTGCAGGGCTAGAGCTACTGTCTTCATTTTCCCATTGTTCATTTTTACTTCTGGGAACTGGGGGCTGTAGCATTTCAGCGGCCAATGGGTCAGCATCATTCTCTTCTCGACCAATCCACTCGCCAATCACACGAGGTCTCAGAAGAGAAGAACTAAATGCCATGGTTTCCTGAAGAGAAGAAAAGAATTTCTGTGCCTTAGATAACATATTGCCATGAAAAGGGCGATAGGGAAATATTCTTGGGTAGATTTTAAACTGCTTCCTCAAATTAAAATGTTCCTTTTTTTCCCCTTTCTTTCTGAATTGACATAAAATTTCAGTTCTTTCCATCTCTACAGATGACTTCCTCTATAGGGTGGTTGCCCACTCATGAAGGCCATTTTGGTAAAGGATCCAGGAGTGAAATCTTTGATTTGGGTTTCTTAGGCTGTGTGTTTGTCCTCAAGATGGTAGAGGGGGAGGATTAGCATTTGCAACACGAGGAGGAGTGTATGGGAAGGCCCACATAGTGAAAGAGCTTGGTGTTGTTAGAAAATGATACAGAATTTCTCAAATGTGGGAGAAATTGAGTTGGGCTCAGAACACCAAGTCCAGGAGAGACAGGGTTAGAAGGATACACTGCCTCCAACTGCAAAGCATTTTGGACTTTTAGAAATCCAGGGGCTTCCTTGGTGGCGCAAACCGTAAAGAATCTGCCTGCAATGCAGGAGACCCGGGTTCAGTCCCTGGGTTGGGAAGATTCCTTGGAAAAGGAAATGGCAACTCACTCCAGTATTCTTGCCTGGAGAATCTCATGAACAGAGGAGCCTGGTGGGCTACAGTCCATAGGATCACAGAGTCAGCCACGACTGAGCGACTAACACTTCGATAAATCCAGTAGAGGTTGGAAGCAGAGCAGTATCAATGACAGGCATGCTATGCTAATTTTAAAAAATGCTAACGTGATCTGTTTTCACAAACTAGGATATGATGTGACTCTTTAAATGATATTTTAAATATTTACATCATTTAATACTTTAAAATGAATACCAAAGACATGCAACTGCTAGGGATACCTTAGTGTGGAAACAAGGTAGATTACAAAGCAATACCTATTGTAAGATCTAATTTTTGTTTAAAAAATTCATATGGGTATACCTTCATGTGCCAGTTTCAGCCTACCAATAACCAACGTTGTTATTGAACCACCCCTTGTGGTTCTTTGTAAGTACAAGACACTCTTCAGCAATAATCACCAGGCAACTTGAAAAAATAAAGGTTTATGACTCACAGAAGCATTTTTGTGTGGCTTTAGGAAGCATCGCTATGAACAAAGCTAGTGGAGGTGATGGAATTCCAGCTGAGCTATTTCAAATCCTAAAAAAATGACGCTGTGAAAGTGCTGCACTCAAAATGCCAGCAAATCTGGAAAACCAGCAGTGGCCACAGGACTGGAAAAGGTCAGTTTTCATTTCAATCCCAAAGAAGGGCAATGCCAAAGAACGTTCAAACTACCACATGATTGCACTCATCTCACATGCTAGCAAAGTAATGCTCAAAATTCTCCAAGCCAGGCTTCAACAGTATGTAAACCATGAACTTCCAGGTGTTCAAGCTGGATTTATAAAAGGCAGAGGAACCAGAAGTCAAACTGCCAACATCCACTGCATCACAGAAAAAGCAAGAGAGTTCCATAAAAACATCTACTTGTGCTTTATTGACCACACCAAAGCCTTTGACTTTGTAGAACACAACAAACTAGGAAGTTCTTCAAGAGATGGAATACCAGATCATCTTACCTGCCTCCTGAGAAACCCGTATGCAGGTCAAGAAGCAACAGTTAGAACTGGACATGGAACAACAGACTGGTTCCAATTGCAAAAGCAGTACAAATAGGCTGTACATTGTCACACTGCTTATTAAACTTACATGCAGAGTACCTTATGTGAAATGCTGGGCTGGATGAAGCACAAGCTGGAATCAATTTTGCTGGGAGAAATATCAATAACTTCAGATACACAGAGGATACCACCGTTAAGGCAGAAAGTGAAGAAGAACTAAAAAGCCTCTAGACGAAAGTGAAAGAGGAGTGTGAAAAAGGTGGCTTAAACTCAACATTCAAAAAACTAAGATCAGGTCATCTGGTCCCATCACTTCATGACAAATAGATGGGGAAACAATGGAAACAGTGAAAGACTTTATTTCTGGGGGCTCCAAAATCCCTGCAGATGGTGACTGCAGCCATGAAATTAAAAGACGCTTGTTGCTCCTTGGAAGAAAAGCTATGACCAACCTAGGGAGCATATTAAAAAGCACAGACATTACTTTGCCGACAGAGGTCTGTCTAGTCAAAGCTATGATTTTTCCAGTAGTCATATATGGATGTGAGAGTTGGACCATCAAGAAAGCTGAGTGTGGAAGAATTGATGCTTTTGAACTGTGGTGTTGGAGAAGACTCTTGAGAATCCCCTGGACTGCAAGGGGATCAAACCAGTCCATCCTAAAGGAAATCAGTCCTGAATATTCATTGGAAGGACTAATGCTGAAGCTGAAAGTCCAATACTTTGGCCACCTGATGTAAAGAACTGACTTATTGGAAAAGATTCCAGTGCTGAGAAAGATTGAAGGCAGGAGGAGAAGGGGATGACAGAGGATGAGATGATTGGATGGCATCACTGACTCGATAGACATGAGTTTGAGCAAGTTCCGGGAGTTGGTGATGGACAGGGGAGCCTGGCATGCTGCAGTCCATGGGGTCACAAAGAGTGGGACACGACTGAGTGACTGAACTGAACTGATGACCTACAGAATCTCGAATTGCACCCTACACCTGGTACCACACAGAGGGAGCGCGGAAGACAGCAAGCATGGGCCTGGGTTTCTGCTTTTACTGGGGTTAATGGTGGGGGCTATGGGTTTTTATGGGCTCATTCTTCACTGGCAAATTTATAAGAGAGAGTAGAAATGTAAAGAAGGAAGAGAAAAACTAAGTGGCCAGTTGAAAAAAAATGAATCATCAGGTTATTAAAATCCACTAACACCTCTAAGACAAAGAAGCTACAGGGTGGAGGTGGGACCTGGATCTCTGAAATATGTTTATTAGTGATAGCCACCCCTGAAGTGGGCATCCTTGGCAGCTCAGTCAGTAAAGAATCTGCCTGCAATTCAGGAGACCTAGGTTTAATCCCGAGGTTGGGAAGATCCCATGGAGAAAGAAATGGCAACCAACCCCAGTATTCTTGCCTGGGAAACTCCATGGACACCACCTTTGAGGTAGATGCCTCAGCAGTCAAAGCTTAAAGTCAGGTACTTTCAATAACAAAACAACAAACAAAACCTCTCAGGGTTTCTACTACAAACTATCAATGCATCATTGATAGACTAACTCCTTCATTTATTCATTCTTTTATGTTTATTATGATTCACTATGTGCCAGACGCTGCTTGATTTACTGGAAAACACAATGGTAAGACCAAAATTTACTGGTTTTAACTGAATGGAGGGACTACAGGTAATTCTTAAATTCTTCTTTTGGCATTTGCATGTCTTTTCAATATTCTATGATAAATATGTACTTATAATAAGAAAAAATATATTTTAAAATATCTTAATCTGAGAAACAGGCTTATAATTTGCACTATTACAAGAGTCTCGAACAATTCCTTAAAATTTAGATCTGATCGACTGAATCTTTACAATTCCCCCAAATATTATACAAATAAAATATTAAAATATATACAATGTAGTATTAATTAATATATCAACACACACCAAAAACAACATGTGAAATATGATTTAGACATATTTAGTGAACATTTATCCAAATGATAAGTGACAGAAAATAGTTAGATATCTTGATATTGAGTCCCAGCCTTCATGAAAATGTAGCAAATAATTTTTAGTGTTTGCACAACACAGCAACTGATCTAATATCCTTCTGTATTTATATTCCCAAAGCTAGGAAATCAAAGCTTTCAGCTGTGAAATCATGCAATCAAATTAATGACTTGCAATTACTGAAAAGGCATATTTATCTGCCACAATTTAATATCATTTGAAGTATAAGAATGAAAACTAACAGTAGTACTATTAAATGTTAAGCCTATATTTGCATTAAAAGCAAATTAAGGAAAGACATGTTTTAGGGGAAAAAAAAGTCCATAAACACATTTACAGCTTCAGAGTCAGTTTTGGCCTGTGCAACTTTGAAATGTCAACTTACTCTCCGAATCAAATACCCAGAAAACACAGAAATCACCCGAGGTAGTTGAACTGGCAAAGGCATTAGCCTGAAGTGAGAAGGACCGAGACTATTCAAGGAATACCCAGCCCTTAGGGACTGCATACTTCCACAATCAGAAAGTTGGAGAAGTTACTCAAAGGAACCCTTTCCAGTGCTTTCTTCAGAAGCAGCCAAAAGGTTAAAAAAAGAAAGAAAGAAAGGAGCGTTCAGACGGTGAAGCCACAATATCTTATGGAAAACAATGGATGGGGACTCCCAGGGAAGGCTTTCCTGGTGGCCCAGACAGTAAAGCATCTGTCTGCAATGCAAGAGACCCGGGTTTGATCCCGGGTTGGGAAGGTCCCCTGGAGAAGGAAATGGCAGCCCACTCCAGTATTCTTGCCTGGAGAATCCCATGGACGGAGGAGCCTGGTGGGCTATGGTCCACAAGTCGGACACAACTGAGCAACTTCACTTTCACTTTCCGATTAAGGAACACCTCCCAACACCTTGGACGGGAAGACCTGATGCCATCTGTCCAGCAAGATTTGAGAGCTGCTATGAACCAGTCACTTGTATAAACCGCTCATTACTTCCATTTTCTAACAGAAAGTATTCAGTGTGGTTATCCCAAATTAGTCTCATCACTTAATAGAAAAGAAGAAACAAAACTATTATCATTTACATATATTTCTTATATAGGAAAATCAAGAGAAATCAGAAAGAAATTACAAATTAATGAGTTTAGCAAGTTTACTGAATTTAAGATAAAATTAGAAAAATAATTTTCATTCCTATGTGCCAACAAGTTTTAAAAAGTAACTTGTAAAACAGATACCATTTACAATAGTAGTCAAGAACACAAGGTACTTAGGAATCAATTTAACAAAAATCTGAATGCTCTTTTTGAATATACTATATGACTTTTTCATAAAACACTACAATATTTAATTAAATGGAAACATGC